GAAAAGCAGCCACCTCTGGCCCCTATGACTGAGATTTCCCGCCCCTACCTTTTGGAACCTGAGGATGAGGTTTCCAAGGGAACCCTTGTGGAAGCCCCACCTACTATTGCTGGGGCTAAGACTTTACCCGCTTCTCCTTTGGAGCCTGAGACCCCTCCTCCTTGCCCACCGGAGTCTAGGAGTGACACTGCCGGGCCACCCATAATTAAACCCTCTCCAGGGCTGCACCCGCCCTTAGCTGATTTTGTCCATCTAGGACAATATTCCTTACAAGAAGTAAACAGCACTCTCAGACATGATGGCGTCGGCGTTTCCCTTTCCCTCAGTGACCTCAAAGAGATCAAATGAGGCCTAGGAAGTTTTCAGACACCCTGGCAAGCACATGGATGTCTTTAGGGGGCTTACTCAGAGCTTTGAACTAGACTGGAAAGATGTCACGTTACTCTTAAATCAAACACTGACTTCTAATGAGGTACAAGCAGCAGTTCAAGCTGCCATTACAGTTGGAGATGAATGTCATCTTGTTAACTACAGAGGGCCAGGACAAAGACAGCCAGGAGAACCACCGATTCCTGCCGGAGCCCAAGCAGTTGCTACACAGGGCCCCTACTGGAGTGCCAACCAGACGGGATTTTGGAATGGAGGGCATCTTCAGTGTGTTCCTGAGGTCCTAAAGAGGAAGCGAGCTAAGCCCTTCAACTATTTTAAGTCATCACCTGTTCAGCAGGAGGAGAAAGAACACCCCCTTGCTTCTTAGATCACTTACAAGAGGCATTGATAAAACATGCAGTCCTAGCTCCCGACTTGGTAGAAGGAAAGATTGTCCTCAAAGACAAACTTCAGATCCATCCTACCAGCCGGTCCAGCAGGACTGAAGGGCCTGGGGCACTCTCTGCTACCTCCCTCTGGCCAGACTGTCATCTCCAGGAAGGAGCCCTGCGTAATCCTGGCTACAGAGGGAAAAGTGTTCTATTGCTGGACGCTGGCGTGGCCTCTCCGTCCTCTTCTTGAACCCTGGCCTTCCTTTCAGCCGCCTCACGTCAGAAGTCACTGGAGAGGGGGTGACCTGCTGTTTCTCACAACCCTTAGGCCGTAACTAGATGGCTTTCTCTGCACCCACTCCTTTTTGGGTTTTTTGTTTCTTTGTTTTTTCCCTTGGTACTGGGGATGGAACTCCGGACCTTGCGCTTCCGAGGCAGGTGGCAGAACCACTGAGCTAAATCCCTGGTCCAATATATTTTATTGTTTGTTTCTTTGTTGTACCCACTCCTTTTTAATTATGCCTGAAAGTCCAGTCTCCCTCCTCGGGAGAGATATTTTATCTTGTTTAAATACTGTAGGCCAGGGATTCCCGGTACCCCCCCCAATCCTGAAGAATGGACAATTGAAGGTAGGATAGGTAGAGTGATAAAAGCTACTCCGATGTGAACTCATCTCAGAGATCCTACTATTTTTCCCCACCAGAGACAATATCCTCTAAAGCCTGAAGTAAAAAAAGGATTATTGCCTATCATTGACAATTTAAGAACCCAAGGTTCACTCAAAGTCTGCGATAACCCATGAAACACTTGGTCTTGGGAGTGCAGCGACCCGGTGGAGCGTGGGGGTTGGTACGGGACCTTAGGCTAATAATGCAGCAGCAGTGCCAATCTACCCGGGGTGCCTGAGCTGTACTCACTCCTCTCTCAGACCCCGGAAGATTTTCCAGCAGACGGGGATTGTAAGGTTTCTAGAGCCGAGGTGCAGCTTTGCAGCCCTGAGGTAAAATATGTGGGCCTTAGCATATCTGAGAGAAGCCAGAGGCTGGAGGAAGAAAGAAGTAAACCAATTCTTTCCTTTCCACAGCCCAAGACAGCTAACGAGATGCCTAGGAGTCGCAGGCTTTTGTTGCCTTTGGATAGTGGCACATGGTGAGATTGCGGGACCCCTCCGTCAGCGAGCAAAAGAAGCCCGACAGGCAGATACCTGTGTTCTACCCTGGGGACCCGATTCCCAGACCACATTCCAGAAGCTCACACAAGCGCTTCTCAGGGCCCGGACCGAGCCTGCAGACAGGACACCAGTGCAGTTGGGGTGGTAACCAAAGGTGGGCGTGGATTTGGGCTCACGCAGGCCCAGGACCCACTCAGCAGCCTGCAGGACACCTGAGTCCCACACCTCGGAGCTGGGGCTCCACGGGCACCCCAGCCACCCTTAGGCAAAGACCTCACGATGTGGCGGGACTTCTTCCTCCCAAAGGGAGCCTGTGGCTGTCGGACAGCTGACTTATTAAATATCGGGCCGTGCTCCTAGAAGGAACAGCCTTAAACCCTGCCACCTCCGCACCAGAAAAGGAAGACACGGAGGCTGACAGATGCGACTCTGAGCAGGTAATTGTCCACACGTGGGCAGCCTGAAGAGAAGACTTGTTAGACTCTCCCCTCCCTGGCCTCTCCTGGCCCGGCAGCTCCTTGGTGGAGACCAGGGCAGGGTGGGCAGTAGCGACTCTGCATCCTCCGGGCCATGCACAAGCCTGCGTGCCTGTGTTGGCCGAGCCCCGGGCCGGGGGAGCATGGGCACAGGGCAGGAAGTCCTTGGCAACGTTTCCCAGGGTCACAGGGTCCCCTCAGCGGAATGAGTCAGCCCCAGGTGCTGAGGGACTGAGGGACTGACTGGGCGTGGCTTCAGGCCTTCCCAGTCACTCTGTGCAGTGTCACTCCTGTAAGGCCTGGCTCTGCAGAAAAACAGCCTTTCTATGTGACGTCAGGTCCAGCCTGAGCCTGGGAGGGAGCGGGACAAGGTTTGCGCGCATGTCCTGGATCTCAGTTCTGGGGGAGGCCCCTGGGTCCTGGAAGAGACTGTCCTTCTCCCTCCCTCCCATGGCCCAAGGCCAGCTGGGGTGCAACTCCACAGAGCACGCTTAGTGTACCAAAGCCTGAGCTCAATGCCCAGCCCCGCAAAGGGTCAATATTCCATTCTAGAGCAAGAGGGATCTGATAAAGGTACAGTTATGAGCCTTAGCAGCAAGCCGTCCTGGGTTCAAATCCTGCCTTTTCCCATTACCAGCACAGAAGATGATGCTGGTGTCATGGTGGGGAGGTGTAAGTATGTGTGTGAGGGGGCTGGAGTGAGCTTAGTGGCCAAGGGTGAGGCCCTGGATTTGTTACACACACACACACACACACACACACACAGATGCACTCGCGCGCATGTACACAGCACTCACACGGCGTCAAAGTACACATAGTGCAACGCTTAGTGAGTGATCAATAAGTGACACCTACTATCTGGTTCCCAGAAGTGGACGAGTAACACGATGAAAGGTGCAAGTGCTCTCCCCGAGAGGGACCAGGCTCCTCGTGCCAGGCAGGCGGTGGCTCCGGAGCAGAGGGCAGAGCTGGAGCAGCTGCAGCGCCCCTGCCCCTGTCGCCTCCTCCCCCTGACAGCATCGGCTGGACTCCCCCACACCTCAGCCCTGTGAGAACAACCGCAGGAACTGTGTGGTGTGCGGGCCTGGGTGCTCCTGACTCCCCCACTGCTGTGTCGGTCCTGGGCCGCGTCCACGGGGCTGCCCTTCGGACACGCACCCTCCAGGGGCTCAGCCCCTCCTGCCCCAGGGACGGGCAACTTGCTCCACAGCGGGATCAGCACTTAGGAGGAGGAGCCGTCTGCGTCCCAGCCAGAGACCTCTGGTTGGGTCGGTTGTCCAGCTGGGCCAGATCCTCCTTTCAAAAGCACTGGTGGGGACGGGGGCTGGGGTGGGGGCGGAGGAACAAGGGGATGGGTAAGAACCTCAAGACCAGTTCTGAGGAAGTCAGTACGGTATCATGATTGAAAGGAAAGGGCCACATCTACACCCAGAGTGTCGAAGAAAGATATCCACGACGTATTGTTTCACAACTCCTATATATACTCACGTACTATTTGCATTTAAAAAGGTTTTTTGGTGCAGAGAGGGTCTCACTATGTAGCCCAGGCTGGCCTCAAACTCTCAGCTTCCTGAGTGCTGGGATTACAGGCGTGCAACCCCACACCTGGAAAGAGCATATTTTTAATAGCAAAGACAGAACTGGGCTTAGAAAGAGAAGGAAATGACCCTGAGGGGTGGACCCTGCAGGGACAGCGCCTGTCCTCATGAAGCCCACTCTTCCTGCTGCCGATCACAGCCTGACTCCTGTGCCTTTTGGAAGGGAAGATGAGGTCTTCAGTCCCTGTCCAGCCCTGCAAGACCCCCCCAGAGCAGACACTCAGGGACCAGGGTGCCTTCAAGGGTCAGCAAAAGCATCCAGAACTCCAACTGGTGTGGAGAAGCGAGTGGGGAAAAACACCAGGAAAGTCCCGACTGTCCAGCTTGAGGGTTTGGACTCCCAAGTTCAGGATGGTTTGAATAAGCTGTCCTTGGAGAGTTGGAGAGTTCCGCAGTGTTCCAAAACTCCTCCTCCACCCTGGCTAAGAGAACACTTCCTACTTGCCTGCTCTCTGAGTCTAAGACCAAATAAATGGGTTCAGCTCTAGAGTTGGGAACTGACCTGCCCAAGGTGCCGAAACAGAGACCAAACAAGAAGCCACCTCCAGAATCTTAACCAGGGCATGCTGAGTGTGGCGGCGCATACCTGCAATCCCAGCACTCAGGAGGCTGAGGCTGGAGGCCAGCCTGAGCAACATAGGGAGACTGTCTTTAAAACACAAACAAAAAGTGTGCCTTTGTATCACCATATCTGGCTGCCCAATTAGAAACCAACATGCTCTGGACACCTTGGATGTTCACCCCAAGCCCAGCCCTTCCCCCAGTGGAAATGGCCTGTCTTGCCCTCCGCCCTGCCCGCACAGCCTCCCTCTTGACCGTGCTTCTAGAAATGGCCGCTCCTGGGTAGGAGGCGAGAGACAGATTTGGTCGCCAGCCTGCAGTAGCTCCAAAGCTGCTGGGCTCTTCTGTGCATCGCACAGGAACCTTTGTTTCCAGGAAGGCTTGGGGGTGTGTGGCATGCGGGCCGCCTCCCATCTCCTACAGGTGCCCTGCGATGTCTCTCCCAATTCTACTGGGCCCACTAGGTGAGAGCTCTGGAAGGGGCAGCCTCTGGGCAGGGCGGGAAGGCAGACAGGGGTAGCAGGTCCGGTGGCTTCTGGCAGTGATTAGGCGGGTTTAGCACTCAGGGCTGCCTGGGAGTCAGTGTTGCTGAGGCCAAACCAACTGTCAGGCTCCTTGACCCTCCCAGAGTCCTGGGGTCAGTCCTGGGGCTCCCCGGGCAGTGACTTAGCGCAGTCACCCAGGAAGAAGGAAAGGGGACCAGTGTGTGCACGGGGAGGGTGACTTCCTTCACACACAGTGTCCTGGGGGGAAGCTGGCCAGTTCTAGGGTCGCCCGGAGGAGGAAGCTGGAGGCGGGCGGCTCCTGAACTCAAGTCCTGGGCTCCTCCTTGAGCGCTGGCCTCCTCCCCTGTAGGTGGTGGCCACACGCAGTTATCCTGGGGCCAGGGTACCCCTCGGGGTGCGCCTGTGCACCAGGCTGGCCCAGGCCTTGAACACACAGCAGGGGCGTCCCTGCACTCACGGGTCGCCTTGGCCCTGGCCTTGCTGGGCGTCTTCGGCAGCAGCCCGGGTCAGGCCTCGGGTCTGACCCTGGGAAGGGATGCGTGGACTTGGCTTTCGCCCTGCCTGGCTCGGTGGGTGCGGCCGACACCCGTGGGTGTCCCCGGGAAAGGCCCGG